GTACATAGCGGGTCACCCTGTCAAAAACAATCGGCGATTTTAACAAAATGCAATTGCACGCGTTATCAGCGACTTCTCCCTTCTTTAAAATATTTCAAAATCTGACCCATAAGACATCCCAACCTGACTGCACCACTGAATTAAGACATCACACAATACCTCACCAGATAAACAAGCAAATATCTTGTTTGTCTCTACTCTAGGGTTACCATATTTGAAAAAGCAAAATTCCGGACAGTGCATGACTATTTTTATGATCTCGTAGTAAAAAATATGCGCATGGTACGAAATAACAACGTTTTGTATTAGCAGTGTGCATAGTACGATTGCAGATGCAGTAAAACTCCGGATTACGGACATTTGGGCATTTTTTAAATTCTTCCCGGACGCAAAATTTAACCCTAAATCTCGGACATGTCCGAAATTTTCCGGACGGTATGGCAACCCTAACCTGGTACACATAAAAATTCAAATAATGAAATCCAGTACTCACAATCTCCATTTTATTTCCAGTTTCCTGCTTTTGATACAGTCGTTCATGCTCGGCATAGGAATAAATCCAAGTATAATCTATAATATGAGCTTGACCATCCATGGTAGACTGTCAAACAATACCTTACGTACTGTAGTAGTAAATGTCGCGAAATTAAAACAAGCACATTGATAGTTATGGCCATGCATGGGCAGTATGGCTCAATACAAGCTCATAAAAACAGGATAGACAAGATCAGAGGTGGGCGTGGTTTTCGGGCACAGGGACAATTTTTTTTAGCTAAAATATCAAAATTTGATTTCAGTTTGGTCGTGGCAGCATCAGGCGGGCCAGATTAAATTACTCAACGGGCCGGTTTGGCTTGCGGACCATAGTTTGTCTATGTCAGGACAAGATACTAACTGCCCATCGCACTCCATGATGACAATTTTAAACTAATATTATTTAAAAATTGCCTGATGTACTTATGGCGAAACTATGAGTCTCGCATAAAACTCAATTTTGTGGAATACAGGCAAATGGTCAGTGTGGTTATGTAGTAGCGTCCTTATCGCCGTTGAGTTCTGCACAGTTACCATTGACATTTCTGTCGGAAAATTAGATGCAAATCCTAGCGAGTTGGATAATTTTGCCGACTTCTCTATAAGTAGGCTTTTCTTATCAAAGTAATATTTTGCCACCGCTACAATAGCTCCGAAATATCAACTATCCTAGCATAGCATTTCTGTTTGCCCTGATGAATAATTTTGACTTGAGCCTAAAAATTTCAACAAAATAAAACTGAAAACAAGTTAGCGCTAATTGCTACCAAACAAATCCTATATTTTTCGCCAAATTGATCCATTGCCAATTCGTATTTATGAACATGATAGTTTTGGGAAAGCCGAATAAATTACTTCAGTTTTTTTTATACAAATTGAAACATTTCCAATTTCCCAAGCAATTTAGGTATATAAATATAAGTTTATTTCGACTCCATAATCGATAATCGCATAACAAGCAATAAATGATTAATAAAAACAGATAGAAACTGATTATATAACAAAATATATAAATACAGTATACGATAGAAACACTTAATAACAAATATTTGACAAACGAGTTAAATTTACAAACTTGTTTCCATATTTCATTTACATTAATGTTCATTGTTGTGAAATGGAGAACCACATATTCCGATATCGAATATATTTTTGGCTCGCGGTGTGATGCATCGAGAAAAGTGAGATTATTACTGGACGGAAGGATTGCTGGACTCGCTATGTGGGAAATTAAAAGTTGAAATTACGTTTTCGAGAAAATATACATGCCATGACGCTTATAAGCTATTACCAGAAAGTAAGTGACAAGCCAAACTTCATTTAATGTATTTTCTATGAGCTCTCCAGTGATTCCTCCCATCTATGACTAAGTAATCTTTCGAAAATGTAAACATTTTACTTGGCCATGCATGGCGGGTTGAGTGATAAAATCGTGAACGAGAGTAGATCGTAAAATCAATTGTGAATTTCGATGTTACAGCGCATACTGCCTCGTTTGCGAATTGTTGCGCCTATCATCATCGGAAATGATTACATTCGTTATATTTCGAACATTTTTGCACTAATAATTGGGACGTGACATTATCAAAATCGTCGAGTGAAATGGTGAATTTGCAAATTCCGTAAGTAAAATTGTGAATCACTCGGAAACGAAGCTATAATGGTTGCCAGGATATTGTTTTTTAAAAGAACGTTGAAACTTGAAAAATCAATTATAATAAGTGTCTGACCCACTTTTAGGCACAAAAGCACTCGAGCGCAAAAATTTAGCATTAGGTCGCATATGTATAATAAAATATCATTCAAGAAGTGCTGTTTATCAACGTCATCTCATCTTATGACCACGTAGAAATTGCCTTTATTGTCGAATTATTTAATCATATTTTAAATCAACATTCAGGATTGATGCAATCGCTTTGCGAGGTTTATCTTTCTAATACGAAAACCATAGGAAAGCATAAAAAAATTAATTATTGTCATAATAAATATCTGCATCTCGGTATCGATAATATTAGCGCTCGCTTAAAATTCGGACGGTAAATTTACAAAAGTTGATAAATAAGTAAGATCAAAACCAACGCACAAAATTGAAGTAAAATTAATTTGGGTTTCGAAATCAATCCCTAATACCTATAGCAAATGTTGCCGACGTAAACGCACGGGTATGCCCGAAATATAAAACTTCGACGTCCGCCAACCCGTAAAATAAATCCTTGCAAAAATAAAACGCTTTGTTGCCGATTTTTCAATGTTGTATTTGATTTTCAAAGAGAGTATCGGCCGACAAAAAAATATTCGTTATTCGTTAAAAATATCCGAATAATTTAATTCGAAAAAAATATTCGATTTTGCCCACCCCCAGGGCCCGCCCCACGAGTAAGACGTCTTATCACTTTCCTCTGTGGGATATTAAAAAATAAAACCAACTGATCTAAAATTAAAAAACTATATGCCAAATTTCCTACCTCGCTATTACCCTATCAGACGTTATACGGAAATAAGAAAAAAGATGATGACATCATAGATAATCCGAGTCTTGTCATCACATAATCCGTGATAAGATTAACATATTCATCCCAGGGGAAAGGAAAGTCGATAAGATGGCTTAATCATATGGCGAACCACGGCCTCTCGTCCGATTACCAACCCATGGACTTAGTGGCCAGAGTAGCCATAACTGACCAGCGGTTACGTGAATCACCCTACGGCGACGATGGGTCCAGCTATCCACCCACACATAACTATCTCCGCATGGGATTCGAACCTGCAAACCCACGCAGGGTAATCAGAGATACGGCGACGAGCGTATTCCTAAAGCATAGAACCAAGCACCACACCACCCACCCGGAATGAACAGAACATCCAATACTGTCCTACAGGTTAACGGTTTTAGCCTAGCTCTAGTACATCGCGGCTTCGGGATTATTTTTATTTACTGCAACTACACTAAAACTTTTCAGAAAATAAAATGATCATTGAGTTATTTATTTTAACCTAAATCTCGGAAATACAGGTAAAAACTGACAAATACCTAGCAAAACCACGAAGACGAGCCCATGCTAGTAAACATGCCGTACCTGGCAAATCCGTCTTGGTGGAAAGGTTGTCTGAGTGGTCGCTAAATTTTATTTGTTGCGTCATCATAGACATATTGTTGATTGGCCAATGTAACAGAAGTCGATTTGTTTCTCATTTGTTTCCATCATTTGTTTCTCTTCTTGTCATAAGAAAATGAAAAATACGAAATAATTCCGAATCGTCCAGATGTTACTAATGTATTCCTGTCACTTCATACTTTCTCCGGGTGCCGCAGCAGAGCCGGGCACATCGGAAACAACAAATGCCAATTTCGTAATCTTTATGCAGATTCTGGCAACGAAATAATAACGGATTATTGGACACGAAGTGGACATAACGATCGTTTCAAAATTTTGTTGTTATTGTTATTTGTCTCCGTCTCCATTTTTGAAAAATCGCTTTTCTCTTCGAATACTGGACCAATTGCTTTGAAATTTTCAGTGGTTGAAGATAAAATTTTTCTCCAGAAGACTATTACTTTTATTTTCGCTATGACGTCATCAAAATTATTGCCATTGGGTGGCGCTACGTGTCCATATATTTGAGCATAGCTCTCTTGTTTATTTTATGATTGTTTTCCTAGTTATATACTTTTGGATATATTTTATTATATTATCCTATTAAAAACAAATGAATTTACTGACTGAGGTACCGTACCGGTACATCTGTACATGGGGATTTCGTTTAGCTGTTAAGGGAGTGCCTGTACGGTACCGGTAACACTGCTGTGAGTGTGGGCCATAGAACTGTAGAAACACGGTACGGTACGGTACGTACGGTACCGGTACCGCAGCAGGTTAAATTCGTGAGTATTCGTACCGGTACCGTACTGGTACAGAAATAGGAACACCAAGGAGTGAATGCTATTTCTGAATTTACAGATTTTATGCAGCAAAACATATGAGCAATTTAAAATAGAAAATGCAGAGCATTTCATGGGAATGTTAACAATACGAATAACCCACAGCAGGCTTGTTTCCTGTTGGCAGATTGGGGATAAATACCGGTATGTCTGTACCGTACCGTATGTGGAAGATCGCAAACAAAACATACCGGTACCCGACATGTACCAGCAGACCGGTGCCGTTAGCCTGAACTGATATGATTGAAACGTCTTACGGTACCGGTATCTGCTTCCTCCTCTCTCAGAGATAAATATGGAAATTCTGTCCTAATAGACTAATTACTATCAGTCAGTGGAGGTGCGCGAGACTAACTCTCAATCCTTTTTCAATGCCTTTGCGCTAGTGGATCCATATGCGTGTACGGTAATGCAAGGATGCAATAGCAGGAATAAAAATACCACACGATGCAGTTCAAGAGTCCTGTTGCACACTGACACAAATATATTTCTGTAACGTTTCGTTGTCGCATTGTTGTAATCTGCTTGTCTGATGAAGTCTGATTTTGGTCAGACGAAACGTTACAGAAATATATTTGTCTTTGTGTGCAGCAGGACTCTTGAATTGCATGCTATTAATTATTGTTAGTTATATTTAGGTGTTCTAAAGACTGTTAATTCGAATTTGTGTTGAACGCAAAATGACTCTCCCACTCCCTGGCGTCGGAGTTTTTGGGACTGGATTATCAGCGAAAGCGTTTATCATCATGCTACGGTCTGCTGGATTCAGCATCGAAGCATTATGGGGCCGAACAGAAGACGAGGCCGCTGAATTAGCGGAAAGAATGCAGATCCCGTTTTTCACGAATCGTATCGATGAACTTTTACTTCACCAAAGAGTCGACTTGGTCTGTATCAACAGTCCGCCATTTCTTCACTCACAAATTGCCGTTAAAACTCTCGGAATCGGCAAAAATGTTCTATGTGAACGACCAGCTGGGTTGGGATATTCAGACACTGCAAGAATGATTAATGCTGCACGTTACTACCCTTCCCTCATGTCCTTATTAGGGTACAATTTGCGTTTTTTACCAACATTTCAAAAAATGAGGCGTTTAATTTCAGAGCGCTTTCTTGAGGATATTTTAGTGTTCGAAGTCCGCGTACATTGTGGAATTATCTTTAATGAGAACTACAGCTGGTCAAATGATGAACGCATGGGTGGGGGGATGCTGGCCGCATTCGGAAGCCATTTTCTTGACGTATTAAGTTTTGTATCTGGACAGCGAGCAACAAAAGTCCACGGATTTCTGACAACATTTCAAAAAAAGAACTCAAAAATTAATGGTTTTCGTGAGATAACCAGTGATGATTTCTGCACTTTTCAAATGAAAATGGACAAAAACGCATATTGTACCTGCGTTTTAAACAATAACATTCCTGGCAAATTTTGCTACGAGGTTTTAGCTATCGGTACAGAAGGTCGTCTCTCTGCAAAGGATGGATTTTTATACGGGCGGAAGACCTCTGACGCTGATAACAAAGAGGTGCTTTTGGACGAGGACGCCATTGAACTTCCCTCGGAAGTGGATGAATTCCTTCCCCCAGAAATGAAAGATCAGCATCCAACTCCTCTATTAAAGGTTGGTAACACAGGTTAGGAATTTCTGTTTTAAATCGTATGCGCACTATAATACAGGATGTCCATAAAGTCCCTCTACAACGGTGGTTCCCAACCTGGGGGTCGCGACCCAAGGTCTTGCAAAACAGTAGAAAATATACAAAACTTCAGATTAATATTGTCAATAAAACGCGTTTTCCACTAGCTGTTGTGAGATCCTAGAATGACGCTTCTTGCTTGAAATCCAAGCAAGCGACGCGAGATGTTTATGGCATGTTAACCATTGTGACGTCACACAAACTCGTCTGCATTTCCGCGCGCCACGATGCGGAATACACGCGGGCTATGAAGCAATGCAGGGGAACGCCAGTATTTCGATACCATGGGGTTTACTGCAGAATAGGCTTGTAGTCTAGGTTGTTTTATCGTGAAGATTATCATACCTTAGTACTTCATACCATGGCGAAGAAGCGACAATATGAAAATGACGTTAAAAAATTTGAAAGCGGCTTTCTAGCTCTTTTTCATATAAAAACAAAGGCACGAAATCGAATGAAAGTCGAGGATGATTGAGATTAGCTATGTCAAAAACTAAACCACGAATTACGCAGTTGGCTACACGATTTTGAAGCCAGCCGTCACACTCAGTAAAACTGCAGGTTGATGAAAATTTGAATTACACAATATTCACTTTGCCAAGTGTAGTTTCAAGTATTTTGTGGCGTCTGAAGCTGCCGCAAAACCATTGCGGGATTTCGAAACCATGGCAGCTACGGCCAAACCCATTTAGCTGCCACAGACCAATGACAAGATGCCGTTCCCACGGCAGCAAATTGAATACCGAAAGCGGGTCAAATTTTGCTGCCATTGACAGCGGCTGTATTGACAGGTCTGCCCCTGATGGTGATAAATATTGGAACATGGATGCAGTTTTGATGGATTTGGGGTTAGGTTTCATGTTAAAGTTGATAATTCCGCACGATAAACTAAAATATGGTACAGTACACGATTTAGTGAATAGACCGGTAATAGCGCCCTAACCACGACAAGAGCTACCATGAAGAGACAACTGCGCCTCCACTTTATCAATTTCATTGATAAGTATAGAAAGTGAGGCAGGGGGTCGCGAGGTATTTGTAAACCACCGAAGGGGGTCGCGAGCCAAAAAAGGTTGGGAACCACTGCACAATTTCAATTTTGTTTTGAAGTAAGTTTTCAATGTATCTATACCAGGTTTGTTGTTTTTTAATCAGTAATTGTTCAAGTATTTTTACTTCATTCAATACATCTGCAAGGGTCAAAACAATATATGGCATCGATAAAGTCCCTTTGCAATTTTAAGATTTTATGGATACCCTATATTAGACCCTTGTTCAGAGCGAATAGCCTGTTAAAAGCTTTGTATCAAAAAGCTATGGTCTAGCTTTCGTTCCAGAATGTGTTGAAAATGCCCCGTTGAGTTGGATAAAATGGCAACATGATCTTTTAATTCAATGGTTCCCAAAGTTGATTGACCGAGAGGCCAAAATTAGAAGCGGAAGAATATTTGTGGGAGCGCAAGGGACCTACGTATATTAAATGCTTGGGAACCACTGTTTTGAATGTATGTATACATACATCAGCTGGGTTTTGTTTTGTCTTTTTTTTTTTGTGGTATTATTTTTTGTGGTATGTTGTATCATTACACTGTGCTTATGTGCTCTTAAAATCTTTTAAAGTCCCATTGGTGTCAATGATGCGCCCAAGTTGGGTTCACGAGTATGCTAAATTTATTACTTAAAAAAATAAAATTAGTTAAGACTAACCTATCATAATTCTGTTCGTTTGTTAATTGTGCTGCGCTTAGTTTAGGTAATATGATTTCATGGACTTTCAACTATATAAAGAGTTTATTTTGTATGTTGTTTTATTTTGCAATGGTACTTTAGTAGGCATTCTCACATGGAATGGACAACACTAAGCATTACCATGGTATTGGTCATTTACTCAATTCAAGCATATGATTTGAGTTATTGTGAAAATAGGCTGCAATTATGTATTAAACACACATGATTGTATTTCACTATACAACACCACAGTATTTAGCCATAAATTTTATTCTGGAATTTAGTTTAGATGTTTGAAAAACAGGCAGTATCTACCGTATTTCGCGGCGAATAAGTCTACCTGGCAAATAAATTGAGGATCGTTTTTGAGCTTAAAAAAGTTTTATTTTGCTCATAGCCCCCCCAATAAGACGGGGAAGAAAAATCGCAACTCTACTTCACTGTTCGTCAGTTAAGTAACATCGTGCGCTATATTTTTATCGATTCTGTAGATGCATTTTTTCTCAGTTACGCGCCAATGTGCTGGTTTTTTAAAAGAGGGATTTCAGGATTGAATATTTTTATGCAATGGGTTCTGAAAATGGACGCCGCGTTTGCGCATTTGTTAAAATAGCCCGTAATGATTTTTTCTGTCTGTAATATTCAATCCATGATAACTACGAAAAGAATTTAAACTGTCTTTCTATTTAAATTTAGTTGTGATTAACGCGACTCGCGATCGATATAATCTAAAATGACATGCCAATCTGCGGACATATTAACGTAAGATAAACTGCCCGATCATATTTAGTTTTGATACATATTTTTGCGAATTCGTTATCGCTGTTATAAGAATATCAAGATTTGCTAAAAAAAACCCGAAATTCAATTAAGGACAAAAAAAACATTTTAATCACCTCAAAACCCCTACGAAACGCTTCTGAAACAGCCGTAGATTGATAGGGAGGAGCATACCGGTATCTGTGACAAAAATGTCGGTTGTCTGTGAGTAAAATTTAAAATAAAGGCTGATGTTTGAACGACTTGTTGTCTCAGCCAGGAATTTCATTCTTGTCAAAATAATCTCAAGCCAAACCAAAGTCTGATAAGATAATTATTGCTGTGTTGGTACTTTCTTCGTTTTAGTATTGCCTATCCACTTTCTTTGAGTTGTTTGCGAGGTGGGGGTCATAAGAATTGAACACAAGGTGTGTAAACTGCGACACCAACACCGTCATGTTCAGTTATTTATAACAAAGGATCCCAAACCACGGGCCAGTTACAGCCCGCATAGCGATTTTATATAGCTCATCAAACTTGAGCAGGTCAACACTTTATGTTGCTTTTCTCCCTTGTGTTTTAGATGCCACCAATTGTTATGTCATTATCACAGTTTGAGCATGTGTTTATTTGTAACAATCCAGTTTGATATCTTAAATGTATAGGGCCTCCCCTCTCCTGGATATCCTCCAGCTTTCAATTTTGGCTCGCAATTATTAAACTTTGGGAAGCACTGATCAATATGATCTGTTTATCAGATGTTAGTTAGGTTATTGCCTCACCTTTGATTTTCTCTTTTTTAGTCTTTGTGCCCGCAACTAGCTGTTATGGGCATCTCCATGTATATGTTAAAATTGAATTATATATAGTAAATATATTGCATTGAGCACAGTAGTAGAAAATTATTCGATTTTGGTCGTAAATTCACTTATTTCATTTCTTCTTGCAGGGAATGCTTAAGTTCACAGAAGCTCTTCGAGACTCGTTCTGTAAGTTTGAAGATCGCAGAAAATGGGATCATGACATTCTCCAATCAGCATCCACGTTTGAAGACGCTCTCTACGTTCAAACAGTTCTGGATTCGATCAGAAAATCAAGCAAAAGCTGTGATTGGGAACAGGTAGGTAATTCAGTTATTGTTGTAAATGTCAGAAATTAAACTTTATTTGTCTGAAATTAAATTCACTCTGTTCGTCCCAAATTACTTTATAGAAGTCCGAAATAATTTTAGATGCTCGAAATTACTTTTTAGACCAGGGTGGTCCAAACCCAGGCATGCGGGCCACATGTGGCTCGCAACGTCATTATCTGTTGCCTGCGTCGCCTTTGCTGAAAGGTAATCAAAAAATCGCATATATATGGTGTTGTTTCATCATAAAAATAATAGATGATCTTTTCGACATTCTGTTACATCACTAATGTCAATGAATTGACCAGTGCCACGGCTAGCTGAAGCAACTAGCGAAGTTGATTTGAGTGTGATTGGGTAGTTCAAATTGTTCACTGGCTTTCTATCTATTCGGTTCCCAACAGTTATAAATACCTAAATATGATAACTAAATATTAATGTTATGACCTGAGTATATAATTTGTTCCGGTGATGTTTTGCAGCCAGCCTAAACAGTATTACAAATAATGCTTCTAATATTTCAGAATAGTTAGTAATTACTCTCCTGTACCTTACATTTGGTAAAATATGATAATCAACCATTCAGCAGTTATGGCAAATATAATCTAAAACGGCATTTTGCTATCATGTGAGCAATGAGCATTTCCAAATTTCGAGGGGTTTTGCTTTGAGAACCCCATCAATGTTCGAGAGCACTTACATTTGCGGGATCTCTTTCTCCGTAATGCAGAGTTTGAAATCTTACATTAAATGTAGCAAAACGTTTGTATGTTTCAGTGATTTTTCTGGCGTATTTTGTATGATTTAGCTTGATAAATGACAAACAATGATTTATCGTTTGCACAATAAAAGTGTTTGTTGTTTACATATTTTTGACGCTATTGTGGCCCGCGAACAATACAAAAATAATTTTGTGGCCCGCGAAGGCGACAACTTTGGACCACCCTGATTTAGACGTTCAAAATTACTTTATAAACGTCCGAAACAATTTTTAGATTCCCTAAATTACTTTTTACTTTCAGAGCTCTTCAGGCACTTTTTCCTTACCGATACAAGTCCAACTTTAACAATTTATTTGTACTCAAAGCAAACAAAATCTCTCAATTGACCGATTCCAAATGGACCATGAAAATCCCTCAATCGAGACATTTCTCTTGTTTCAGGTACCATTGTACGATTCATCTAACATCAGCTGATTTCTGCATAGCAAAGAGAAAGTCTCTGGAACAAATATTTATCAATTTCATAATAAGCAGTAACGGATAAGCATAATCATGCAGTAATTAAATATTATGGAGTATGACTTTATATCAGTGTTTTGGGCTGAGCTGATTTATTGTTTATGCTAAAATATCTAAAGTTTCAGGGCACTTCAGAAGTTTGTGTACCGATATGGAGGTAACCTATTTTACATCAAGTTGTGTGAAGGGACCGAAACCTATGGGCGGGGGTATACTCACTTGGCTAACACAGACAGCCCCCGAATTCGTAATAGAACTAAAATGAGGAAAATTATGGCTTAACCCTAACCTGGTACACATTCGACAAAAGTACCCTTTTTAGTAATATGCTCCTACCACCCATTGGGACACCTATTTTCAATTTTTTAACGGCGGTTATACACGCTCTTTGGTCATAACATGGCATTTTACAAGCTGTTGCTGGTATCACACGACATGAAAGGGAGCTACTATAATTTTAAAAAACGAAATCTTCTCGGTTCTGCAATGTTTCATCCTTGGTGGGTTGGGGGACATTGATGTCGGTTATTTGTTCCATTATTCATGGACTTGATGGTGGAGGATTTCATAACCACAGCATAAACCATTTTTCGGCTGTGAGCAGTCCAACAATCTTCTCGCACATAATTATCCCCTGCAGGAACTTGCAAACTGGGGTCATAGGTGCAAATCGCACGAATACTCGGAAACCAGGCTGACAAAACTTTGGTACTGAATTCTTGATTTTGGGCTACTGTGAATATTATGATGAGTCAACTTTTGCTGATTTTGATAAGGTCCAAATTTGACTCGATCTTTCAGGGGTCTCTAAATTCAATTCCCAATCTTGTTTCATATGAGGTATTTTCACACTTTTGATCCCAACATTACTCTAGGCCAGTGGTTCCTAACTTTTCATATCTTGTGACACCCTTCTTTGTTACTTTGATTGGTGGATTCCAAATCCCATTATGTTCTAACAATTCATGCCCAACAAAGGGAAAAAACCCTGTGATATAACCTCATCCAGCAATGAAACTTAAGAAAAACAGTGAGTTTTCTCGTGAAATTGGATTTGCGGCTGACATGGTGGCCCTCTCTAACTGCTCTGTGGCCCCTTTGGTGAACTACGGGCCCCCGTCGTGGAACCACTGCCCTTGACAAGCCCCTAATAGACACTGTTAGCTACTGTTTTTGGAATATTCTTAATGCCGGCCTATTTGTTACACTCTAGCTGAGTGACTATCTAATCTACCAGCAATGTGGAGTCTAAAGCAATGGTCTGACAACTAAGCCACTGCACACTTGCCTTTATTCAACAGTATGCTCAATGTTTTGCAGAGTAACTACGACCTGACAATTTTTCATTAACTTTCTCAAATTTTTAACAAATAAAAAATTTGTTGTTTTATGTAGAGGCTACAAACGATTATTTTTTACACTTTTCCATTGTAGATGTGAAATATATACTGCAGTAATAGTTTTTTTTTACATAAATTAGTGATTTTGCAGTTTTGCAATGAAATTGTATTTATTTTGCATGTAAATTTTGATTATTTAAAATGTATATCCTTTTTGAGAATGCTACGATATTGTGTATGGAACCACAAGTTCTTGTTTACTTTCTACTTCGATAAGTAGCAGTTGCCACAAGGATAATTGAACTAGATTGTAAGAAAGTCAAGAGCAAGAATAGTATAATCTCTCTCCATGAAATAGCAAGTATAGGGAGGCCCCAAAAAACACAACTCATAAATTTTTTAATTACTCCTACAAAAATTAAGAAAATTCACTTCTCATGTATAAGATTGTACCCAAAAGTTTCGGTAATCTCGACACTTTGCACAGAAGTTACGTTTTAGAATATATTATGAACGGCCTCCGGCGCGTTCGTTGTTCAAAATTGTTAATTACTTGTGTGCACTCTATATTCGTGAGATTACAGTCAACATCAGCGATTCCCTTTTAGATTCTTCACTTTTGCTTTGTGTCATATTTGCGAATGAATTTAACCTATTCAACATCAGGGGACTATGATATTGTGTATTGAACTGCAAGTCTTTTTTCCTTGTCTACTTAAGGAGCCAAGAGAATGCATAGACGTCACTGTATCAGGATTTTAAATCATAGTATCAGTCTTCTTCCATGAAATATATCAATTTGGTTGTTGAATTTTATGTAATTTTATACAAATTAACTGAATTGCAGAGTCTAGACAACTGTTATGCTGAATGAAAAATATTAAAAACCTATAGTAGAAATAATTAATCGAGTGATTCTAATTAAATTAATGATTTTGCATATCTTTTATAATAGGTGTATTATCTTGTATTGCTTACTTACAACTGCCCTATTCTACTGAAGTAGCATATTCATGATAAATAGCAGGCATTTATGGCATGTTTCTTTCACTCCTTTTTGACTATGCCTATGTGTAAGTGGATCTATATGTACTGGCAATCATTTGGCTACATCTGTATATAGGTTATTTACATATCTGGCTTCCCACCAACTGGCTAACTAATCCCATACCGGTAACCAGAGGCAGTAATTCGCTGTATGATTCTTAGCGGCTTTCCTCTCCCCCGGGATAAATATATGTAAATCCTATCCTTTTACTACCTCTCTATAACCAGCCACTTATGCTTAAGAAGCCACTTTTTTAAATGAAAGGTGAAAATTCTTTTCTGTGTTGCCATACAGAATCTATACACCCTTTCGGATACAACGCTCAAATATTGGGCCATTTCATTCACAGAAGAAGCTGAGGTCACTCGAACTTCACTGCGACTCATTTTGTCGCCTCTCCATGCTAATTCTACCCAATGATATTTCAGCTGACTACAGTTCCCTAACTCGCAGAACATTTATTTTGGACACTGTCTCAAAAATGTGGTGTCGCATATTCGGTTCCCATGTAAAAACACTGCCATGGGTTGGGCCAGATATGAATTGTGATACGAAGAATTAACATAAGAATTTGAAATGGGATTCATGTTGTTTTCTGGGTTGGGATGAAATGCTTGGTTTAAAGGTTTTTTAGTAATAACATGCCTATGATGTATGGGACATGACATTTTTGAGACACTTGCCCAAGGGTTGTGATTTTTCCCATTATTTACTGTATAACCTGATTATCTGTTTCCTATGCATTTAATATGAACAAATATATGATTCGTAGAGAATGTATCGTATTCGTTTTTAATTGGGATGTCAACCTATCTTGTTAAGTGTTCCCTTTTTAAAAGTTTGGTAGATTTATCAATGATTTAGAAAATAAGGTATTCGTATTACACATATAGGCATGCATGCAACGAGAAGCTTTTAAAACTTGAGTGCGCATATAAATCATATCAGGGTAGTTCAAACCCTGGCACGCGGGCCACATGTGGCTGTTTTTTTTTTTGCTTGTTTTTTTGGCTTGGACTCGAAATCCAATCTTGGACAGACACGATGATCATGTGACCTCGTTGATTAGAGTTGGTACTGTAAATGCAAAATCATTTCAGCCTGATATTAATAAGCTGGTGGCACAAAAGAGATGCCAAACGTCATGACATATGTATGAAAAAATATTGAGTTTATTCTGAAGTATTTTTGTAAATTTTAGATCTATATATTTATATTAAGTCATTTTTAGTGTATGTATTATTCTTTCCTTATCAAAACTTTGTTCAAAAATGTTTGGATAGTTGTACATAAAAAGTTATGATTTTTTGTAATAAATACAGTAAATTGCAGTAAATGCACAATTTAATATGTAAATGGGATTTGAAATTTAAGAAAATATGAAAACTTCATTTGGCTTTTTATTTGCATCACACTATATCTTACAAACTACACCAATCTAGAAATATGCTTTAAGTACATTCTAACCAAAATATATCAAAAACTGCTTGCGGCCCTTGAAAACTCACGAGTTTGACACCCCTGCAATAGTATAGACCAGTGGTTCTCAAACTTTTTGAGCCGCGCCCCTCTTTGAAAAATGTTGCGAACTTCGCGCCCCCCCCGCCCCTATTTTTGCTTTGAAAAAATGCTTTTGTGATGGGCAGGTTGCTATATGGCGCTAAAGGAGTGTTGGTCTAAAACTACCGACTTGAAATAAATTTAACTCCATGGGATTTTATCGCAGACTAAGGAATTTCTGTAACGGTGTTAAAATTAATCGAGCATTGCGATAGAGCGGAGTAAGAGTTGCAGGGACGGCACATAATGGTGAAATTGGCAAGAATACAAATCAAAACAAAATGTAATCGGGCACTTTGCCACACATTTTTATGGTTGCGGATTACCGTGGTATTTTGGAGTAGTAGTGCTTTCATTTTATCGACGCAATCGCAGATTTAATTTATCAAAATCAAATGAATAAAGCAACCATTTTAAATGAATATTTTATTCAACACGAAAACCATTGCATATCCGTTGACAAAGTCGGCTCTTATAACGACTGGCGTAATCTCGAGGAGTGACTCAGGATTCGTACCGAGGGGATTTTGAGTCGATGAATATGTATTTTAATTGTACTAAATTAAGTATACTTTCTGGGATATTATACCAGATCTTTCTAATGAAGACAACGAATTCGCAAGAGTGCAATATATATCAAAAATAAATATAATCGGGCAGTTGATCACACTTTAATATGTCCGCGGATTGGCGTGGTATTTTAGATCGGTGATGAGTTTATTTTGACATGAGTCGCTGCAACCGCGAGTTACCTTGAACACAAATGAATCAAAATAGAGAGACATTTTGAATTCTTGTAGTTATTACGAGACAGAAAAATTTATTATACCACGAAAAAGCCGGTATTTTTAACGAACGCGGAGACCGTTTCAGGAGCTGTTACATGTAAATTTCCGATTCCATCTTGTGACCTCTCGCGCGCCCCTTGTGAGCATCTCGCGCCCCCCTCCCCCCAGTTTAAGAACCACTGGAATAGACAAAGGAAAAATCAGTGGAAACGTATTTTCTTGCCCACAATAACTCTATACCACAGTGTCAGATGGGCTTTTGAGTAATATCTGTCACGAAAGAATATAATATGAATCAGCATTTCCAAACCTGCTTCTTCCTTAAAATAAAAAACCTCACCCATGCAATAAACAACAGGCTGATTAGAACGTTAAACTATCATTTTTTAATATATTTAAAGTAAGTGAACTCGCGATGTTTTTATCACTGTTGGGTTTTTCCCGACTGCGGCCAGCGAGACCTCAAAAGTTTTTGCAGCCTCGCAACCTTGGACCACCCTGAATTGTATAAAATAATAATA